TTTACTCTGACTCAGCACTTGCTATCTTCATATAGTGAATTGGTGGCTCGTAACAACTGGCCATCGATCCCTCACTTCTGTAGAAACTTCTATAGCTTGTTATGCAGTAACTGATCGTAGACTTTCTCCAGGTCCATAAACGTATAAAAACCTGATGAGTGAATTCGCGCACGATCGCAGGGTGTTTGGCTTAAATAGCATCAGAAATCGAATATTAATTTTCGGTGTGTGAAGCCGCAGAGGCTGTAAAGTGCTCAAAAAGTTGCTAGGCTGCTGGAATCGATGAAAACCATCTAAGATGCTTAAGGTTTTAAACGGACAAAGCACCTTCAGGTTATGACGTGTCTGTCAAACTCCAGTGACTACGGGGATTCTGGAGAACAGGGGTGTTAACATCCCGGTTCAGGGAGGGCACTCAGAAAGTGCTGCAGTTATCAAATGAATAACTTGTTCGTACGCCTGCTTACGTCAAATTGCGCATGATTGGTCCATTGATTTCATCACGTATTGCACATTTTCCTTGCTCTAATGTGGAGGAATCAGCCGTGGGTTATTTGCTCCAGTTATCCTGAAATTACCTTATGAACCTCCCAGGAAGTCTGCGCTAGGTGCTGGAAAGGAAGGCGGCGGAATAGCTGACTCCAAGATCCAAGAAGAGGAATGTGAGTTTCTCTCAGGTCGAGGTACTTCTGAGCAAATTTTCTCCCTACTACAGATTTTTGGGAAATCGTATGAGTTCGCTTCTCGGGTAAACCATCATTATATACATTAGATCTTCGTATTATAGCAGACTTGATCTGTTTGTTAGAGGTCAAACAGTTTCCAAGATTAGAACTGAATAATGAAGTTTTCTCATTTGCAAGGTCGTTTCTTTCTGGTTCTAGTTTGACCATAGATGTTATTTGCATTGCGTTTGTTGGCAACTGTGCTGAAACAGCTTAAAATAGTGCTTTGTTTTGCATTACGCATATATTATTTTATCATGCGATATGATAAATTACTAACGTTTCAGTTCGTATATTGCGGTTTCTTCACGTGGGATGGTTGTGATTTTCCGTTTCTGTTTGTGTTGTCGCGCCGAATATCGGTAGATGAACTTTAAAGCGTGTACGTTTTATACTACTTTGAGATTTCCTCAGAAATCGAAATCTGAATGTTCAGCAGAATAAAGAAGTAGCTTAATTCGGAATTTAATCTGACGCTGACTCTAAGCTTTGCGATTTTGCCTGCATGCATATTTCTTGTTTTAAATACAACTAGTAATTTCTCCTAACAGTTGTTCATTTGCTATCGCTATAGTAACGAAGCACATCTGCATAAAGTGTTAGCATAAGCCTTGTTTGGAGCCCTCAGCCATAGGTTTGTAGATTTGTTACAGTCCTAGAAATAGGTACAGAATTTTAGACGTTAAAGTTATGGTAGTTAGACATAATTCCACAGTTAGTTGATTGTATTTAACCTCTCATATCTTAATCATAATTGATATATAGGGAGGTTTCGTTTGCATCAATTTTCCATGAATCTTGAGCTGATGCGTTCAAGGATTGTTGCTTTCCGCTAATGCTGTCTTGTTCGCGATAACCTTTATTCTAAAGTTGATCAGGTAAGCAATTTTCGACTTTGTACATTCAGTTACTCATTTACTTTCACAGTTTAGTGATCCTAGTGAGATTAATCAGGCATACTCGACGGGCTGGATAACAAACGGTAAGTTCAGGTGTTTAGGTTCCATCTATGACCCCTTTTTATTGAGAAATTGGCGACTCCTGGTTGTAATTCTTAATGGATTGCGGATCTCTCTGTAGAATTAGTTTGCATGTTGGTTGGCTACTACGTGCGAAAAATTTATAGATAAAATAGTTGTTTTCCTTCATCCCTTCTCATACTCCTTGCTTGAACCGTAACTGACTTATAGCTTTTTCATTGTTTATGTTTCGCTTATCCTCTTTCCACTGATTGAACGTGAGGATCAAGATATTAGAAATTATTGATCGGCTGCTTACCATATTGATCGACTTTATGTAAATTTGTTAGCGGAATTCAGGTACAGTGAGTTTCTGCTACGTGTCAAGTTGGGAACGGCGTACCCGGGTCTGTATTATTTTTGTCTTCGATTGATTATTTGCCTCATTTTAGAACTTTATTATGAACTAATCTAAGTAAAACGGCGCTAAAATACGCAACCCCAAACTGTTCGAATGATTGTCGCGTTTAAATCGTACGAAATTGTCGATCAATTACTTACCGTATTTCCTGAGGTTATTTAAATTTAAGAAATGCAGATCAGCGAGAAAGGAGAACAATGGAAACTACATTTAGTGCAGTGCGTCATGACTTGTTGACGCTGGTGTTGCGTTTATTTCTGGCGATTAATTCTGGAAGCTCCTTACTTAGTCCACAGATTTTTGTTACTTATTTTCGTAATTGATAGTTATTGTCTGTTTACTGAGACAGTGTTTCCCTTTTTCGATAGAGTGAATTTGTTACTTGTCATCCCGCCTCGTTGATGACTGTCTGTCGGCGAGATAGAGAATTTTCTGCTTTTCCTCACTGCCTTTCAAGCTTACTTTGTGTCGTCAACGATTTTGTTTCCCTTTGACTTCGGAAGTCGAATCTTGATTGTTCTTCCCAGTACACTGTTATTAGAGCGAACATTTTGTTCTTTATTTTTCTGCAGGCACGCCTTAAGGTGGTGTAATTAGCCCGCGGTTTGAGAAATTTTAGTTTCCGCTCAAAAATGGTCATACATTCTGTTATCTCAGCCGTGTGACCGTACCAGAGCACCACCTCTGCTAGTTGATCACAGGTTATTGACTTTCTGCCTGTGTCATGGTTTGCTCTAAAGCACAGTTGAGCAGATTCCTTGTTCGAAGTATTTAGCAGTTTATAAAGAAACTCAACACCGCTCTTGCATTCGTACTGACATCTCTTTCGTTCACGGCTGATTGATTATTCATTTGCTCGGTCCATTGTTATGCCATCGAACCCAACCCTTGAAATTGCTTTACTGACTGTAGAACTTAGCTGTTGAAAAGATCTCCTCTAGCTGCTGTCCAGCCTCGTCCAATAGTCTGAAGGCTGTAGTTTTATTTTGTCTCTCCCAGCATGTCGCCTATTTCTCGGTTCAGACATGTTCGTTTCAACTCCCTATTGAATCAAGCGAAAATCTTAGAATTCTACTTCCACCTACATTGCAACCTCGAATCTTTAGCTAAAGCGAGTGAAAGTATCCCTGCGATAGAACTCCATGCGCTGAGGGATAGCAATTTGCATAGTTACCAGCGATACGAAAACATAGTTGTATGTTAAATTTCAAATTCCATGGTAATGTTTTGGTATGCATATTTTATTTATAGCTGTTTAGTAAGTGTAAATATCCGGTAAATTATACTAAATGTATCAATTACGTTGTGACCTAGTATGCTCTGTTACTGTTCTATATTATATTTTGTTGATCTGTTGTTGCCGTTGTCCCAGACTAACGAATGAAACAGCATTGTTGTTCAGACTGGCAGTGCCTGAGTCGCTTGAAGTCATGTTCCATGATTTTGTTTAGCGCTGTTTACTGCTGTTTAAAAAGTCACGTTTATGTTCAGTTATTAGTTAAAAAGAACACCTGCGGTATTAGCTTAGATGAAATTTCTAACTTAATGATGATTTAAGTTACATTTTTATAGATTTTGCTGCTAGTAAATGCATATTATTTTATGCGTACTCGCTGCAAAATAATCTTTATTTGGAATATCTATCAGTAATATCTGTTTAAAATTTGTCTGATGTGTATATCTTGAAAATGCATGTTTGTAGCAGTATTTTTGTGTTGTTTTTATTGTTGTCACGGTCATCTAAAACTGCTGCAAAATTAGATGCTTGCTTCAAGCCAGTTAGGCAATTAAAATCTGGCTCACTTAAACCTAATACCTCCTGTTCAGACGGTGTCAATATTTCACCAGAACTGATAGTGAGCATCGAAGAGGAACAAGGTGATTCTTCCGACGATGACTAGGCATCATAATATTTTTTTCTTGTTAAAAATTATGCTTAATTTACGCGCTTAATGAAGCATGTATTTGCAATGAATAGTAAGTGCAATATATATGGGAACTTTAATGTTTTGCACGGAAACAGAGTTCGCGCTGTGCTTTGAATATACTATATAGACGCTATTCTATGGACATTTTGATTTTACAGTCACTCCCTTCCCCCAAAATTGTTTTGGTTTTTTTCAATCATTTTCAAGGCCCATTATTCCTTTTAATGGTGCCTGTTTCATGAGGCTTTTAGAATGGCCGTGGTCCGCTGTCAAACGGACAAACTCAAAATTTTGGACTCAGAGGTGCGACAATGCCAGATCTTATATGTTAGTTAGGTTCCTGTTTGCTTTCAGTTGATTTCACCATACATATCTGTGCTTTAGAACTCGCTTTTAACTAAAACTAGTCTATGCCTGATTAGAATGATTTGTTCAAAAATAGAAAGCCTATTTCTGTTTTGTTTGAGATTTGTTCATTTTTTCTTAATGGCAGTAAGACGTGGTGTTCTGGTGATATCCTGGACATTTGCTCGATCGTATAGAGCTGAAGTGTTTGTCTTATCGTCTCTTAATTGCTTTGAGCTAGTAATATGCTCCATTGAAATCCAGTTCAACCAATCTTGGAAAGAGCGGCCTGTCGATGATCTGCGAACAGTCAAAATAGCATAGTGTCCTGATGTGTTGACTAAACAACCCACGAATTATGGCAGTTAGTCGTGGCCTATATTTGGACGCTTATAGTGATCTTTTTGCATTTTAACGACTTTGATGGTGGAACATTTGATCAGCGCAAATTGAATCCTGGTTAAGTTTGAAAAGTCTCATTTTAATTCTGTTTAAATAAACCCAGTTTAAGGTTTAGAAGCCCCCTTCAGCGCAAAATGAGTGCTCTTTTTTAGATTTCAAAAATTGCTTGCTTTATTGTGCTGTATTACAAGGCAAATTTAGGTTGCAATCAGTTGCCAGAATGACTGACGTTAAGATTACATACATCGTCCCTAAGCGTGAGGTGCTGTCTGAAGCAGATATGAAAAAATGGTTTTCTTCACAGGTAACTAAAGATATCGGAGCATTTAAAACGAGCCATTATTTTTAGGCGTACGGCGATTTCCTCGATTTTGTCTTTCGTATTAATACAGAGTTAACTTCGAAGCCGAATACTGAGTGTGGGAAACCCAGCGAAGTAAGTTACTTTCAGCGAACAATTGCCGATAAGCGTTTGAATTCGATCAGTGCATAATTGAAAAATCTGTCAACGAGTGCTTTGCTTATTTTAGAACGCTACGAGTGTGGTAGAGATGCTGGATTTGCTTGAATCGTGGATAGCTGATTACCCGCCTATAAATGACGCAAAGCAGAGATTTGGGAATAAAGCATTTCGCGACTGGCACAAAAGATTGACAGAGGTAATCTCTGTCGTTTTGATTGGTGCAGCATTTTTTCGTGCCGTTAAACTTTTAGATTAGCACGTGTCGTATCCGGGTAGGACAGTCCAGAGCCTCTGATTCTAGCACTTTCCATTTAATGTTTCTCAGAAAGCCTTTTACCATTTTGATTCGGTTTTAGTTGCGAACATTGTCCACGTCAGAGACAACTTCTGAATAATTTTTATCACGTCCATCTGTGATGTCGACCAGTCATCTGATATCGCTTTTCTAGTTTGTACGTGTGTAATGCTCAGATTCAGAACGAACAGTGAAGGTTCCGTCCCTTTTCCGCAGCATTCTTTATTTTCCTGTAAATCTCTGAAAAGTGCTTGGGATGTGGGAGGTTTGTGCCTACAGGACATGAACGACACAGATATGAAAGGAGCTTACGAATTTTTCAGTCGAAGTTATGTAGAGTTCTGCAGAAATATTAGGTGAATAGTCAACTACTATAGGTCTCTGTCGAAGTCTAGCAAGAAAATGCATTTCTAAGTTTTCTTGGTCTTCGTCGAAGGTGCGTTGTATCCTCTGCTGTTGGTAGTTTTTATTGACTGAATTAGTCGCCGCAGTTTAGACATGGGCAACTTCAGCAGGAAGTTTGCGACTGAGCTACCTGATGCATGTAGATGATCACGCTATTTTCTCTCCTTCCGATGATGCCGCCTCAACATTCACACGACTGTTTTGCTGCTACATACGATGTGATGAGGTCTGAATGAAAAGCAAGCATGTAGATTTTATGAGCAAAACAGTCATAACCGGCCTATTGAACGATTTCTACATAACGAACAAGAGAGCTAAACTGTCTTTAACTTTCAAGTCTGTACAAATAGCCTGTAATTTATTGTTCGCCCACAGATGTTTTACCTAAACGGCGTCTTATTAATCTATAAACAGACAGTAGGGGGTTCGTAATTCAGTGTAGCCAGATGTGTGTAATATACTCTAGTACATTTTTCCATCGTTCGAGCCAACATTTTTTGTAGTTGCTGCGAATGCCTACTGAAAGTAGCGACTTCCGAATTGTTGTTCTTGGTGAGCTAGCTATTGTTCCTGCCAGTGATGCAATGTGACGTGCATCGACGCACCCTCAGCTGTTAAAATACCGCGCACCATGGCATGCTTAAATTGTTCTTTGGATATCAATGAGCATGTTTGCTATAGTCACATAGGCTGTCAAAATTCAGTCGCTTTTAATATTATATGCTTAGAAAATATCCAGCTTGTCATCTCTGATGTTCACGAGACATGTTGCAGAAGGATCCTTTAGCTGTTCAGTTTATAAGAAATTTATTCGCTCTAATGTATATATGATCTTTTTTTGAAGCACTGTATTCTGTTTTGTTAATATAACGACGAATAGATTTTAGAGCTCAAATATCGCGATAATGATTTAGTAAAGGTCAAAATTTCTAATTGTTATTCTACGCTGGCCATTCCAAACCTGTTCTACATTTTAAGTAGCTGTTCCAAAAGTAGCCGGCTCAATTTCTACTTCGGTTTACGTGCGGCTTTTCCAGTAAGATAGAATGTATGATTCCAATCGCCATTTTCATTAATACTGGTCATTTCAAAAAATCCGCCATTTTCTGAAACGTCATAGTTTTATATAGTGTTTCATTAACAGAGCTACTCATGTTTTGAAGTTCAGTGAGTTTAAGCATTCTGTACAAAGATTGTTAGTTTGGCTATTCACAAAAATGTAAATTATATAAACATTTCAACCTCGATCTTTCTGGAATACTGATCATATTGTATGCCAGCTTAGTTATAGTACGATTTATGCCACAAGGACATTCAGAACTTTTAAAGTGAAGCGAATGAAATACATTGCAACCATTGCGAGCAGCCGCGTTCAGCGTTCATGCACTGTGAGCAATACATTATTCAATAAGCCATTAGCTACAGATATTCATGTATGACCTTCAGAATTAGACGCTTGTAGCCACCTCTAAAGATGCCTTATTTTGAATGCAATATCTGCGGCTGTGTCACCAGGACAGTGCGTACCTACTTATGTCCTTCCAGCACAGCAATAATTGTTTGTTGACCTCAGGAAAATTGCTACTTTCATTCATAAGTAGATCGCTCGCCTTTCATCTTTCTGCGCCAAATATATAATCACTCTGAGTTGTGGATAGGAGGTGGCGAACTAAAGGATTTGCTTGTAACGCAGGTGTTGTATGCCGTATATTACCGTATGAATCAAGCATGCCTGTCTGATCTTAACGCAGATCAGCGCCGTACCATAAGCTTTTATAAATGGGTGAATGCAACAGCTGACGATCACTGTGGTAACGGACAGTGCCACTGGCGTCACAAATCTTACAAATTTTCTGTTTCTTCTCATCTTTGCAAATGCTACTAGTGCCATGTTTCTTGTAAGCGTTATAAACTTTTTCGATTGCGAATATGTACCATTTTAAGAGTGTTTTTTTCATTAATTTGAAAGCCATTTGTAAAGGCATGTTTCACTGCTACTCTGACCATTGTTGATCACTTTCATGATTGTTCATTTTCAGCGCGTCTGACGTTTAATTTGAAATGTGTAACCTTTCAAGCAGGCTGCTACTGTTGCTAATTAATTTCTTTCTGTTTTAGTGCGCCGTTGAAATACTGAAGGCCTTATTAGATCAGAAAAGTGCTGCTGCAATTGAGCTTGCTCCGTATCTGTGTGATAGCTTCGGAAATCCAACTAGAATTGATTACGGCACTGGTTCGTTGTAAGTGGTTTATGCGCGATGATGTCTCACTTCGTTTGTTGAAGGACATGAGTCATGCTTTTTGATGTTCCTATGCTGCTTGTTCAAACTGAGATTCTTTGTTCGTACCGACTACCCAGCGGTTGGCGGCATAGTCTTCGAAAGGTAGGTTTCGTTTAAGCTAAACTTATTTGACTTCCTTGTTCTGCTTACTTTTTTTGTACCTTCTAATTCCCTTGACTCGCGTTATATTTTTTAGCTGATCATATTTATGACGAGACCGAAGTTGGCAGTGGTAAACGATTAGACATATTGATTCTGCTACGATCTTAATCTAGCCTATTGGATCATTGTATCAAATTAGGTAGAATGAACAGCAGCGTACTATAAAAACTTGGACGTTATTTCTTGTCTGCTGCCGTATGCCGACATTCCGTCATCCTTTGATGCTACAGCGATCAGATGCACCCGTCGCAACTTTTGTTTTGCGAAAGTGAGCTCTGATATCGGAGATCTTAGCTCTAGTAGCAATAACTGCGGTTCGCGGTGGTTTTGTTAGACAGCCCTTCTCCAGTGTATTTTCTTTAAGATGTGGGTTGTGGTGTCCTACAGTAAGCCCCTCTCTGTGTCTCTGAGCGGAATTGCCAAGTCATGTGCAACAGCTACGCATTCGTCTTCAAAGCGTTCTTTAAG